CAACCCTAACAGAATTCTGTTACAAGATGAACCTCCATGTTCATCCTCATCAAATCCTAACATGGTATCAATCGCCTTCTACGATCTAGATCGCTTCCGCCGCTCATCAATCTTCCTGCTAGCTCTGTCTTATCAGTAGTGGTGCTCTTCTGCTTCAATTCGTTTTCACCTGTGTAACCCTGTGCAAAGATCTGTTCAGCAGCAACAATGGAGTCTGAGGATAATCAAGAATCTGGCATCAAAGACTCTGTGCCGTCGCAAGAAGGAATTTTAGGGTTTGGATCCTTGAAATCAAGCAACAAGTTCGGTCCGAAACTCTCCATTCAGCTGCAAGAAAACAACTATCTTCTATGGAATCAACAAGTCGAAGGTGTTATTCTGACTCAGAAAATGCATCGCATCGTTGTCAATCCGCTGATTCCACCAAAATTTGCTACTACTCAAGATCGCATTTCAGGTACGATTTCTGCAGAATATGAAACATGGTTAGTCCAAGATCAGGCTGTGTTTATTTGGCTGCTTTCGACTATCTCAGAGTCGATTCTCCCTCGTGTTCTTGCGTGCAAACACGCATATGAGGTTTGGGACAAAATTCACCAATACTTCACTGCTCAAATGAAAGCTAGGGTTAGACAACTAAGAGTTGAACTCAAGTCTACCAAGAAAGGAACTAGCACAATCACAGAGTTTGTGCTTAAAATCAAAGCCATTGCCAACTCTCTTTTGGCTGTAGGTGATAATATAACTGAACAAGATCAGGTTGATGCGATTCTTGATGGCCTCCCTGAGGAGTTCAATCCGTTTGTGATGCAGATGCATGGTACACCAATCCCACCTTCCCTATGTGATGTAGAAGCTCTGTTATATGTTCAAGAGGCTCAACTGGAGAAGTTTCGACAAGAACTAGCATCCTCTAGTATTACTGCAAATGTAGCTCTCACAGGTCATGGCAATTCGCGCCCCCAGAACAATTACACACACAACAATGGGAGGAACACCAGATTTTCCAGAGGAAGAGGCAGGGGCAGAGCAAGGGCAGCTAGCAATCATAGACCTACTTGCCAACTCTGTGGCAAATATGGTCACTCTGTATCCTCATGCTGGCATAGATTTGATGAAAACTTTATGCCTCCCAATTCTAATGAGTCTCAGGACAAGACAGACAACAACACTCAATCCAGTCATGAGCAGTCCAAGGACAAATCTCAGAATCCACAAGCTGTAGCAATGATGGCAGCTGCAAGCAAATCTATTGGCACAACACAACAATACAACCTCCCTGCAGAACTTGATTCTCAAGCATGGTTTGTGGACTCAGGTGCTTCTCATCATCTTACTCCCTATGCACTTAACTTACAGAACTCTAAGGCATACACAGGTACTGATAAAGTTTATGTTGGAAATGGCCACACACTCACTATTAATTCTATAGGTTGCACACAATTCTGCTCCTCATTAGTGCCCAAGTGCAGAATGATGTTGAATGACATTCTTTATGTACCAGCTATCACTAGGAATCTTCTATCTGTTTCCAAATTTACACATGATAATCATGTTATCTTTGAATTCCTGTCTAACAAGTGTTACATTAAATCTCAGGATTCTAGACAAGTTCTGGTTGAAGGAAGTCTTGATGCTAGTGGTCTCTATTGTTTTCCTCATCTGCATTTGGAGTCCTCAAAGTCACACAGTTGGCATACCACATTGAATAAATCCGGGCATGTCCAAGGTTACACTGCAGTTCAGTCCTCCTGTCAGCCAACGAGTTTCACATCTAATACTAGTAATAATAGTGTGTTGTGGCATCATAGATTAGGGCATGCTCATCCTTCATCTATTGTTAAGATACTCAAACTGTGTAAAATTCCTTGTTCAAATAAACAAAGTAGTTTTTGCAAATCTTGTAATCTTGGTAAAGCTCATAGGCTTCATTCTCCTTTGACTCATCATGTATATAACAAAGCTTTTGATGTGATATATACTGATCTTTGGGGGCCTGCCTCTTCTACTTCTAGTGCTGGTTTTAACTATTACATTGCATTTGTGGATGCTCACACCAGGTATACCTGGCTGTACTTCCTTAAACAAAAATCTGAAGCACTAAATGCATTCCAATTGTTTCACAAATTTGTTCAAACTCAGTTTGGTCTAACAATTAAATCTGTTCAATCTGACTTTGGTGGTGAATTTAGATCTTTTACAAAGTATCTGCAGGATCTTGGAATTACACACAGAATAACTTGTCCTCACACCTCTCATCAAAATGGCTCTGTTGAGAGAAAACATAGAACAATTGTTGAGATGGGATTGACACTGCTTGCTCATGCATCCATGCCACTCACATATTGGGATCACAGTTTTACTACTGCTGTCTACCTCATGAATAGGCTGCCAACATCTCCATTGACTACACACCATTCACCTTTCCATGCTTTGTATGGCAAGCATCCTGACTACAAAAATCTTAGAGTATTTGGTTGTGCCTGCTACCCTCTCCTGCGACCATATAATCAACACAAATTGCAACTTAGAAGTCAGGAATGTGTATATCTTGGAGTTTCTCCTCAACATAGAGGTTTCAAATGCTTGAGTAGTTCTGGCAGAATTTACATTTCAAAGGATGTCACCTTCCATGAGCAACACTTTCCCTTCCCTCAGCTGGTTAAGTCAGACACTACAACAGGTCAGGTTTTAACACACCAGCCAATTGCTTGTCCAACAGCCTTACCTACCAGCACAGCTATCACAACCCCAAAGGTCACAGCTGGCATCTCTGTACAATCTAATTCCCAACCCATCACTAGTCCCCTAGACCCTGTGGCAGTCCCAATGCATGAGCTGTCTAATCAATCAATCCTGGCCCCAACCTCTCAGCCAACATCTACTCCCCTACAGGCTAATCACGATGATGTTGTAAGTAATTCTCATCCTATCATATCTCAAGAGGACACTTCACCTAGTAAATCTGCAGCAGGGCAGTCTACAGCTTGTAACAATACTGCTCACATGTTCCCAGACTTCAATAACCAATTCTCCAACTCAGAGACAGAATCTGCTCCAAGTTCTGAAGCTAATACTATTTCTAGTTCCACATCTGAGTCCTCTTCCTCTCCATCCATTCCCAGTCACAGAACTCCACCTGCACTCTTGGTTAATGACCACTCAATGCTGACTCGAGCAAAAACTGGGAAATCTAAACCTAAAGCCTTGCTTGCACATACTGAAGCTGAACCAACAACTGTAAAACAGGCCTTGTCTCATCCCTCTTGGCATGCTGCTATGAAGTCTGAGTTTGATGCCTTGCAGTCAAACCACACATGGACTCTCACCACATTACCCCCTGACAGAAAAGTTGTGGGCTGCAAATGGGTGTTCAAGATCAAGGAAAATGCTGATGGATCTATTAATAAATACAAAGCTAGACTCGTAGCTAAGGGATTTCATCAGGAACATGGGTTTGACTACACTGAAACATTCTCTCCGGTTGTTAAACCAACAACTATCAGAGTTATTCTTACCTTGGCGCTTACCTACACCTGGGATATTCAACAGATTGATGTAAACAATGCTTTTCTTAATGGTACATTGACTGATGAAGTTTATATGACTCAACCTCCAGGTTTGTGACAGATGATAAGAGTCTTGTATGCAAGCTTCACAAAGCAATATATGGTCTCAAACAGGCTCCACGGGCCTGGTATGCGAAATTAGCACAAGCTCTGATTCAGTTTGGGTTTACCACATCCAAGTGTGACAACTCCTTGTTTCTCTATCACTCTAAAGGTACTGTCTTGTATGCTCTAGTTTATGTTGATGATATACTAATCACAGGATCTGATTCCAAACTTATTCACACTTTAATTCATCAACTGCACACTACTTTTGCGTTGAAAAAGCTTGGCACACCGAAATACTTTCTTGGCATTGAAGTGAACTTGCAATCAGATGGCTCCATGCTCCTGACACAATCAAAGTATATCAAAGATTTACTGTCTCGAGCAAACATGGCCAATGCCAATGGAGTTCCAACTCCCATGATGACCAACTGCAAACTCAGCAGACATGGCGCCTCAAAGCTGGCAGATTCGTCCTTCTACAGGTCCATCGTAGGGGCATTACAGTATGTCACGTTAACCAGGCCAGATATTGCATATAGTGTCAACAAAGCTTGTCAATTCATGTCTGATCCTCTTGATACGCATTGGTCTGCGGTTAGACGCATTCTTCGGTACCTCAGTGGCACTATCTCTCATGGTCTACATTTATCTCCGTCGGCTACAGCTTCAAAAATGTCGTTGTGTGCCTATAGCGATTCTGATTGGGCAAGTGACCCGGATGATAGGCGGTCCACGTCTGGCTCGTGTATATTTTTTGGTCCTAATCTCATTTCATGGAGTTCAAAGAAGCAGGCCCTTGTTGCTAGATCCAGCACGGAGGCTGAATATCGCGCCTTAGCTCATACAACTTCGGAACTGCTATGGCTGGAATCTCTATTGTCTGAACTCAATATCACTTATCACACCCCTATCCTCATGTGTGACAACTTAAGTGCGGTTTTGCTTTCTCATAATCCGGTTCTTCATGCTCGCACCAAGCATATTGAGCTTGATATACACTTTGTGCGTGAACGAGTTGTAGCTGGCCAACTTCGTGTGCATCATGTTCCGGCGTCGGTACAAATAGCTGACACACTCACAAAACCTCTTGGGACTGGACCTTTTCAGCATCTCAGACACAAACTCAAGGTGACTAGCTTGAAAGATCTCACCATGAGTTTGAGGGGGGATATTAGAAATACTCAATGTAAATCAAAGATATAGATTGAGTATATATAGGATACCTCATAGTGTATATGAAAATCTCTTCAATAATATAATTCATATCCTTTTTCCCTCTCTTGTTCTCTCACTCTCTTCTTCTTCTTTCTCTCAACCCTAACAGAATTCTGTTACAAGATGAACCTCCATGTTCATCCTCATCAAATCCTAACAGTCCCAAATATGGCATCTTCTTCTTCATCCTCAACCAAAGTGACCCTCAAACTTCTTATTGACACCAAAAATCAAAAAGTTTTGTTCGCAGAAGCTTCTAAAAGTGTCATTGATTTTCTTTTCAACTTGCTTCTCTTACCTATTGGCACAGTTGTAAAACTGCTAACCAAGAATGGCATGGTTGGTAGCATAGGAAATATGTACTCCCTCCATTCTCTTTTATAAGCAAATTTTGACTTTTTAGGTTCATTCAATAAATAATGTATTTGGACTATATATAGATTAGATGCATTAATTACTTAATGAATCTAAAATATTAAATTTTGCTTATAAATAGGAATGGAGGGAGTATGACAGTGTTGAAAACATGAGCGACAATTACATGCAAATAGGGCAAACCAAGGACGTTCTTTTGAATCCAAGAGTTCCATCTGAAATTTCTGGCCTTCTTCTTGCAAATGATGCAGATACTAGAGACAATGTGGGAGCTGGAGGAACTTTGTATTATAAATGCCCAGGTAACTGTAGCTTTGATGTCACTTGTGATAGCACAACTCCTTGTTCTAGCTGCAAGCGACCTATGAACAGTCTCACGCGTTATGTTGGAAAGAAGGTGGTTGATGACAACACTTCGATTAAGAATGGTTTTGTGAAGGATGTCGTAACATTTATGGTGATGGATGATTTGGTGATTCAACCAATGTCAACAATATCAAGCATCACACTGGTGAACAAGTTCAATGTGAAAGACATTAGTACATTGCAAGAAAAAGTTGTTGAGATGGGGATGGATGAGGTAAAGAATGTCATTATTACTTTCTTATTTAATGCGTTTTATATTTGATAAATAGATCATTTTGTTCTAAGTTTTCAAAATTGTTTGACTCTTTTTTTTTAATAGGGCATCAAGTTGCTCAAAGCTTCCCTGGGATCGAAGATGGTCTTGACTAGTGTTTTCATCAAGAAAGACATTTGATGTAGGATTTATTTATTTTTAGTTTGAATTTTAATATTTTAAGGGGATATAGCATTTTGGTTTTTATGTTGTCGTTTTGCTTTCTGATTTTCCTTGATGCTTTCTGAATGATTAAGTTCTACTATTTTATTGTTGTCCTAAGTATATTCTACTTATTATTGAAAAGTACTACCTAATTTATTGTTGTCCTAATTATATTCTACTTATTATTGAAAAGTACTACCTAATTGTGATAAATTTTAAATTATGTATGGTAGTATGGTAGTATGGTTGTATGCTCTTAAAGACAACAATGTATCGATACGCTCCATCCAAAATGTTTATAAACAAAAACACTAATTTTGATTGTAATAAAATTATAAACAAAGAACACTAACTTTGATTGTAATAAATTATAAGCAAAAAATATTACTTTATTTCATTTAATTATTTTCTCTTCTAAAAATCATTTTTTAAAGATAAAATAAAATGTTAATTGCATTTAATTTATGGATACACTCTCAGCCTATCATGTGCGAACCAAACACATTTATGTGAGGCTGCATTTCGTCAGATGGGTAATCGAGCATGGAGAAGTCCAAGTGCTGAAGGTTTTGACAGATCATAATGTTGTTGATATGACTATCAAGACGTTGTCCAGTTGCAAATTTATCAACTGTATACAGTTGATAAAGATACATCAAGAAAGTTAGTTTTTTGATGTTATAGAGTTAGATCTAAGGTGGAGATTTGTGAGATATTGGATCGAACTCTAGTATGGTCAAATGGTAGCTTCTGATTTGACAGGAATTAAGCATGAAGTCGAAAGATGTTCGCATGCTGTTGTCAGAGTAATGCATGTTGTAGTCGAAGTTTGTTCTAACATGCATTAGTCAATATTGATATGGTTGTTAGCATGTTGAATTGGGTCTTGCTTGTAAGCTCAATTGTTTAAGTTAGCTTGTAATGGGTAATTGTTAAAAAGTCCACTAGGTTAGTGTGCTATTTTTTCTTATAAATAAGATGCTAGTTTCTCAATTTTGGCATAAGAAAAAATAGGAAGATAAAATTCTAATATCAAGTGAGAGATGTTATTTTGTTATTCTTGTATACTTGTAATCTTGTTTCTAAGAGAAAGGAAAAAATAACTTTTTATAACCAATTCTTATTTTTCCTTGTTGTTTTACCTTGTTTTCTTTGGTAACCCTAACTCTTGCGTGTTTCTTGATCACTAAGAAACTGTTTTATACTTTGTTTAAAGACATCCGATTCACAACAAATTGGTGCGGTGAGCGTGAAGAAGACGCCTTCAACAAAGTATGAGATCGAAAAGTTCACCGGAGTGAACGACTTCGGTCTATGGAGCTTGAAGATGAAAGCCCTACTGATTCAGTAAGGTTGTTTGGAAGCGTTGAAGGGTGAGACAGCCATGAACATTGTTTTAACGGCAAAAGAAAAGATGGGCATGATCGAGAAAACCCACAGCGCAATATTGTTGAGCCTTGGTAATAAGGTTCTTCGACATATATCAAAGACGACTACAACATCAAGATTATGGGTGAAACTTGAAAGTTTGTATATGACCAAATCTCTGGTGAATCGACTCTACCTGAAGCAAGCTTTTTATTCATTCAAGATGAGTGAAGGCAAAGTGTTGGATAAGCAGTTGGATATGTTCAACAACCTGATACTTGATCTTGAAAATATTGATGTGAAGATCGATGATAAAGATCAAGCACTGTTGTTGTTGTGTGCTTTGTCCAAAACACATGCTCATTTCAAAGAAACTCTCTTGTATGGAAGGGATTCCCTGACCTTTGAAGAAGGTCAATCAGCCTTGAATTCTAAGGACTTGAACGAACAAAAGGAGCATAAACCTTCGACAGTGGGCGAAGGTTTAGCTGTTAAGGGAAAATTCTTGCGAAAGGATGGTAAGTTCGACAAGAAGAAAGGTAAAAGTCAACAGAAATCTTATAGTGGTGAAACATTTGGTATTCGATGTTATCACTGTAAGAAGGAGGGTAACACAAGAAAGGTGTGCCCTGAACGCCTGAAATATTATAGAGGTAATGACAACGCAACCATTGTTTAAAATGACTTCGACTATTTTGATGTTCTTGTAGTTTCAAGTGAAGACTCAAGAAAAAAGTGGATTATGGATTCAGGTTGCACTTGGCACATGACTCCAAACAGAGAATTATTCGAGGAGCTATGTGATCAAGATGGTGGATCTGTGCTACTAGGGAACAACAAATCTTGCAAAATTGCAGGTATTGGATCTGTGAGATTCAAGCTCCATGATGAGTCAATAAGATTATTGACTGAAATCAGGTATGTACCTGACTTGAAGAGAATTTTGATTTCTCTTGGTGAATTCGACAGAAAGGGATATGTTTTTCAAGGAGAGAAAAGTATCATAAGAGTCATGAAGGGGTCGAAGGAAGTCTTGAGAGGCGTGAAGAAACATGGCTTGTATACCCTTGAGGCTGAGGTTGTAAGTGGTTCGACAAATGTTGCATCCATGAAACCTGTGTCGAAGACAGGATTATGGCACATGAGATTGGGCCATGTTAGCGAAAGAGGCCTAGTCGAATTGGGGAAGCAGAACCTGCTAGGAGGTGACAAAGTCGAAAAGTTTGAGTTTTGTGAATCTTATGTATTTGGTAAATCCTATAGGGCGAAGTTTAACAAAGGCAAGCAAAGAACACATGGATCCCTGGATTACATTCATGCTGATCTTTAGGGGCCTACAAGGAATCCTTCACACTCAGGTGCAAGGTATTTTCTATCCATCATTGATGACTATTCCATAAAGCTATGGGTATTCATTCAGAAGAAGAAGGATGAAACTTTTGAGAATTTCAAAAGTTGGAAGATTCTGGTCGAAACCCAAACTGGTAGAAAGGTTAAGAGGTTGAGAACTGACAATGGCCTTGAATTCTGCAACGAAATGCTTGACAGTTACTGTGTTGAGTCTGAGCTGGAACAGGGAGAGATTCTTGTTGAGGTGGAACATGTTGATGCTGAATTGCATACCCCAGATGAAGTCGAAGAAGACGCAGAAGATGTTGTCGAAGATGAGGAGACTGATAATGGCTATCTGCTAGCAAGAGACAGGTCGAGGAGAGTCATCAAGCTACCTCAGAGACTTGGGTATTCAGATCTTATAACTTATGCCTTAATCTTTGCAAGTGAGGTTCTAGACGAAGAACCTAGAGACTATAAGGAAGTTATGAGGAGTCGAAAGAAGACTGAATGGCTGAAGGCCATGGATGATGAGATAAAATCTCTTCATGATAACAACACCTGGGAACTGATCAAGAAACCTGTTGGAGCTAGGTTAGTCAGCTATAAATGGATTTTCAAAGTTAAGGAAGGAATCAAAGGAGTGGCGTCAAAGAGATACAAGGCAAGATTGGTTGCTAGGGGGTTCACTCAGAAAGAAGGTATCGACTTAATGATATGTTCTCTCCTGTTGTGAAGTACAGATCCATTCGAATGTTGCTTGCCACATTGGCACAGTTCGATCTTGAACTAGAACAGATGGATGTGAAGACTGCATTCTTGTATGGTGACTTAGATGAAACAATCCTGATGAGGCAACCTGAAGGATATGTCGAGAAAAGGAAGGAAGATTATGTGTGCAAGTTGAATAGATCCTTATATGGACTGAAACAATCTCCTCGATAGTGGAATATGAGATTTGATAAGATCATGGCACACATAAGTTTCATCAGAAGTCAGTTCGACCAATGTGTTTACTTCATATTTTGACCGGGTAATTCATTTTTTATTTTGTTGCTCTATGTGGATGATATTCTAATAGCAAACAACAATGTCGAAGAGGTAATGAGGGTGAAGGTTGAACTCAACAAGGAGTTCGACATGAAGGATCTGGGAGCTGCGTCCAGGATTCTTGGGATTGACATCCGAAGAGATAGAAAGCAGTCGAGATTATGCTTATCTCAAGAGGCATACCTACGGAAGATTCTCGAAAAGTATGGTATGTCGAATTCAAAGCCTATTGTGACTCCGACAACCCCTCAATTCAAGCTGAGCATAAATCAGTGTCCTAACACTGATGTCGAAAGAACTTATATGAATAGCATTCCATATGCTAACATAGTATGTTCTTTGATGTATGTTATGGTATGTACTAGACTCGACATAGCATATGCAGTAAGTCTTGTAAGCAGGTACATGGTGAATCCTGGAAAGGCTTACTAGAAATCATTGAGATGGATTCTAAGGTACATAAATGAGTCTCTGAATAGAGTCCTAATTTATGATGGAGCCTTGGGTGAAGATAGTAAAGCAGGAATCGAAGGATTTGTCGACTCTAATTATGCAGGTTGTATGGATTCCAGAAAATCTATTTATGGATATGTGTTCAATATATTTGAGACAATAATCAGTTGGAAAGCAACACTTCAAAAGGTCGTTGCCTTATCAACCATTGAAGCTGTGAAGGAAGCATTGTGGCTTGAAGGTTTTGCAAAGGAGCTAAAACTTCAAGGTCGAGTTATCACTGTTAAATGTGATAGTCCAAGTGTAATACACTTGTCGAAGAATTCAGCCTATCATGAGTGAACCAAGCACATTGATGTGAGGCTGCATTTCATCAGATGGGTAATCGAGCATGGAGAAGTCCAAGTGCAGAAGGTTTTGACAGATCATAATGTTGTTGATATGATCACCAAGATGTTGCCAGCTGCAAGTTTTTCCACTGTATACAGTTGATAAAGCTGCATGAAGAAAGTTAGTTTTTTGATGTTATAAAGTTAGATCCAAGGTGGAGATTTATGAGATATTGGATCATACTCTAGTATGGTCGAAGGGGACAGGAATTAAGCATGAAGTCGAAGTATGTTCGCATGCTGTTGTCGGAGTAATGCATGTTGTAGTCGAAGTTTGTTCTAACATGCATTAGTCAATATTTCTAGGGTTGTTAGCATGTTGAATTGGGCCTTGCTTGTAAACCCAATTGTTTAAATTAGCTTGTACCCTAAGTTAGCTTGTAA